CCCGCAATACTATCTATGCTCACAAACATAGGATCTAGGGTGGTAGAATCATACAAAAAGCCTGTTTGGTTAGGATTAAAATCAATTTTTTTAGTAAATTTTGATAGAAATTGATGAAATGTGTTGTTATTAAGTTGTGTGACGCATAAAATATGTGATTAAAATTAATTGTTGACTTTGACTTAAATTAAAATTTAAATTATAATCAGTACCAAACACGGTCAAAATGTTGAGATGATTCATGTAGAGACTATGTGAGTTGACTCGACTATATTTGATTGATTCGGACTTGAAAGATGTAAATAGATTAAATTAGTGAATTCGTCTGAATACAATATTAACAATGAATCTTGAGATGTAAAATTCAAGGGAATAACTATGTTGAAATCGTGTGTTCTAACAACTTTCACATAAGTTAACCTAACTAAAAGCACCTTTTTTTTCTTTTTTCATATTTTAAAATTTTTTTCTTAGATTTATAATATTTAGGATAATTATTAAGATCAATTTTCATTATTTTTATTCAAATAGAAATTTAAAATAATTTAATTAAAATTTATAGATAATCCTTTTGCGAATGATTTGAAATCTTAAGTTCATTTTATTGCTTGTTCAACGATGTCGCATACTTACAATAAAAATCACACAACAAAAGCAAATCTTTAACATTATTAGTACTATTTGTTACGTTCCAATTACTAGGGGTTGAATAGTCTAACTCTCATCACCTAAAAATCGGCAAAAACATATGGAATAAATTAATGTGTAATACACATATCTCATGCACGTATGTAGGGGCGAAGCTACATAGAGGCGAGTGCATGCACTGGCCTGCACTTGACTTTGGGCTTGACACGAGAAAGACCAGTCTATGTAGCATCCCATATAATTCAGACGATACGATGAGCAGATATTTGTTCTTCAAGGAGATAATTTAATCAATGGTCACTGAATTTTGCAATGAGTTACTATTTTGCTCACCAATTTTCGAAAAGTTACTTATTGCTCATTGAATTTTGCTATATGCTACTACTTGCTCACCAAAATTTAAAATATTACTTATTGCTCACTTAAATTTGAACAAAATTACTCGATGCTCACTGGACTTTGTCATAGATAACACCGATGGAAATGATATGAGTGATTGACGAGTAACTTTATTCAAATTTGGATGAGCAACGAGTAACCTTTTAAATTTCGATGAACAAGTAATAATCTAAAGCAAAGTTCAATGATAAAACACTCTTTCACATGACTTAAATTGAATATAAATACTAAGTGGTTGAAACAATTTTTATTTTCTAATTGTAAGTCATGTGAAAGTCTCGTGAAATTTTAATGTCTATTACATCTATGATTTTAGTCCAAATTCACATGTTCAAATAAATTTGGGTCCCAGTCAATCTTTCCTTCAACCTTCAACGTATGACCTTCAATCGATGGAGACTGGAACAAATGTATCTGACGCGAGAAAGAGAAGAGAGTCCCAGAACTTGTGCACTAGCACTCGACGATAGCCTTGCCTTGAGGCAAGATAAGACAAACTGAACAAAATAGAAGAAGCAACAATTTAACAAATTATATTCTGCTGCTAATTCTTCTTATGTAAATTAAACCACGTGGTAATTTCATTAGAAAAAACAAGGGAAAGTACGTGAACGTGGATCTCCTACTTTCTGACCGTGAGCAAAAGTCGGGTGCCCACATGTGTATTACCGAAATTGCCTTCATTCCATGTTCATATTTCTTGATTATTCCTTCCAATTATTATTATTACTATTTTTAGGATGAGAATGGATTTCGAGGGTGTTAAGGATTAGCAGTCACTAATAATTCTTTGTGGCTAATTATCCGATATAACAATTTTTAGCTTCTAATTTGACTTTTGTCTATTTTGCTTCTGCTCATTTTTGGTGCGCTCCTCTCTTTCTCTAACTTTGATTTTTCCTCTTTTCATTGGCAAAATATGATTATTGTTTATAATTGTTATGATTATAATCATCCCTGCGTTAATCTTTGATTAATCATGATTAAGCTTTTCGGCATTCATAAATTGAATGATTATCTTCATTCTCTTCTTCAATTCTTCTATAAATATTCACTTATTGAAGAGATTTTCACATGCAGATAATTAAATTCTTTTGCCTGTAGAAACAAAAAAGATTTTTTGAGAATTTACGTAAAAAGGTTAATAATCTGTAATGTGGGTATTTGTATATATTTATGAATGTCTTTTTTGAAGGAGATGAAACTTTGAGAAGCTGATGCATGTGAATTTTAATTTGAGGAATTAAAATATTTTGATATGTCGAAATGTCAAACATTTTAATACAGGAATTAGATTCACAAGTTCCTGATTAATTGTGTCATTTAATATAGGTTTCTTTGCAAGCTTGATGAACAATTTATTATTATTATGCAAAGAAATCCTAAAAGAAAATCCCGATAAATTCGAGTAGTTGCATCGATATGTAAAAGGTCCTAATTTTTACCTATGGAGATTTAACCAAGTATCAAAAATATTATTGATATTTACTTCACTATTCCATTCATGTTTATATATAGTTTGTACAATTGCAGGCCTGAGATGGGGGTGGGTGTTTAAGACTTTGGATCTTCATTCTCTAATTTTCTACTTGTTCATGGAAGAGATCCCTGACCACAAATAACATAATAGCCTTTCGTTAAATGTATTAGTGGCTGTTAATTTGAATTCGACTCCTTTTTATCTTGCATTTACTGGTTTGGTTTCTTGAATTCCAGTTACCAACTTGGCATTCCTTGGAATTTTACGAGAATGGAGGATGCTAAGGATGTCAAAGAACATAGTCCTCCTGAATCTTCTCTAGGACCAATATTATCCTCTCCAGACAAGGATCAATCACCTAATGCTTCTCCGACAACCCAAGATGTTAATGGAGAAGTGAAATCTAACACTCGGGGGCCACTGATCGATATTTTTAAACCAGATCCTTTAGAGGATGCTTTTGATGATGAGAGTCCAAAACTTCAGACCGAAAATTCATTTGCCACTTCTTATGTTACTACTGATGGAATAGGTTCAGAACATAATATTGGCGTACCTGTAGTACTTTCACAAGAAGCCACACTCGAAAAATCAGAGAATGAAGTACAACTGGAGTATCATGAAGTTAAGAATTCAACAATTGTTTCGGAATTGAATTCATTTACATTGGAAACAAAGGCCCATGATGCTTCACCAAAATCTTTAGATGGTGCTCTTGATAGTCCCAATGTTGAAGAAAATGATGCTTCTAATGGGCCTCGAGTTGAGCATGAGGTCTCAATTGCAGTAGCTAGGGATCAGGAAACAATGAAGCCTGAGAAAGAAGAAACTTTAGAAGCCAAAATTGTTTTGCGGCCAGCATCAGAAGATGATAATAAAAATTCAGCTCAGACGAGAAATGACACAGTTGCTACTCTTATTACTGAAGTTTCTGTTAATTCTGACATGACAACAAAATCCACTGAATGTGATAAACACCTTGGAGATGTTGACATAAATAGTAGTCAAATCGTTACAGCTGCACCTTTTGAATCTGTTAAGGCTGCTGTTTCGAAGTTTGGCGGAATTCTTGATTGGAAAGCCCACCGAGTGCATACAAAGGAGGTATAATCTTCTTAAAACACTCTTGCCTTTCCACAACTGCGTTTGAACTCTTCATCATTAGGTTGAATTAGCTTCCAAAAGGTGCATTTTACACGTCACTATGTATTTCGTGTTTCACATTGCTGCACAAATTAGTTGTGATTAGGTTATCAAGAAACAGAAATTGGTGCTCATTTCAAAATTAATGTACAAATAGTTATTTACACTATGTCTCATGTGAATATGTTATCCTGTTATCTCTTTGTAAGTAGCGCAAATTGTTATATAACCTATGGAAAAAAATTGACATTTCTACACACCGGCTTACATGTGAACATTGCTTATAACATAGTATTCAGTATACCTCTTAACTGGTTCTGGTTCCCCATGTAGAGACGAAAGTTCATAGAACTAGAACTGGAGGCAGCAAAGGAGGAGATCCCGTTGTATAAAAAACAAGTCGAGGATGCTGATGTGGCTAAGATACAAGTTTTAAAAGAGCTAAACAGTACTAAAAGACTCATAGAAGAGTTGAAGCTTAATCTGGAAAGAGCACAAACAGAAGAACATCAAGCAAAACAAGATTCTGAGCTTGCAAAACTTAGGGTAGAAGAGATGGAGCAAGGGATTGCGGATGAGGCTAGCATTGCAGCCAGGGCACAGCTTGAGGTTGCTCAAGCCAGGAATGCAGCCGCGGTTTCGGAGCTTAGAGCTGTTAGAGATGAATTGGAACAACTAAGGAAAGATTACACTTTTCTGATAACTGAGAAGGATGCTGCAGTGCAAAATGCGGAAAGAACTGTTTCTGCAGCACAAGAAGTTGAAAAATCGGTAGAGGATCTGACTATTGAACTCATTTCAGCAAAGGAATCATTGCAGTCTGTACATGCTTCGCATCTGAAGGCAGATGAACACAGACTTGGAGCAGTTATGGCGAAAGTGGAAGACACAGCGAATTGGGAGAAGGAATTAAAGGAGGCTGGTGATGAGTTAGAGAAACTAACCCAACGAATATCATTGGCCAGGGATCTGAAATCAAAGTTGGATACTGCTTTGGGATCACTACAGGATTTAAAAGCAAAATTGGCAGCTTATATGGAATCAGACTCAATGCAGGAAACTGTTGAAGAAGCAAACCTGATAGATGCACTGGAAGATCCAGAGACAAAAACATACGGTTATATTAAAGCAGCTGTTGCCTCTGCTGAGAAGGAACTTAAAAGCACGAAGCTCAACATTGAGCTAGCAAAAACTGAAGCTAACAGCTTGAAGGAGGAATCCACATCATTGAAGTCAGAACTAGAGAAAGAAAAATCAGAAATTGTCGCCTATCGACAGAGAGAAGGAATGGCATCAATTGCAATTGCATCTGTTGAAGATGAACTGACTAGGATAAAGTCAGAGATTGTCATTGTTCAGAAGAAGGAAAAAGAAGAAAGAGAGAAGAAGATGGAGCTCCTCCAAAAACTACAAGAGGCAGCTAAAGATGCAGAGAGGGCAAAGACACTTGCCCAAATGGCTCAAGAACGGCTTCAGGAGGCAAAGGAAGAAGCTGAAGAAGCAAAATCAGGAGCAAGCACCATGGAAAGTAGATTACGTGTGGTTCAAAAGGAAATAGAATTAGCTAAAGCTTCAGAGAAAGTGGCAATAGCAGCTATCAACGCTTTGCAAGAGAGTGAATCTGCTACAAACGATGAGGGTTCACCTGTCGGTTTAACACTTTCTTTAGAAGAATATTATGATCTTAACAAGCGGGTCCATGAGGCAGAAGAGCTAGCTAACAGGAAGGTGGATGCGGCTATATCCCAAATTGAGGTAGCAAAGGAGTCTGAGTTAAGGAGCTTGAGTAAGCTGCAGGAAGTAGATTGTATGATGGCTGAAAGAAAGGATGCTCTAGAAGTTGCACTAAACAAGGTTGAGAAAGCCAAGGAAGAAAAGTTAAGCGTGGAACAGGAGCTAAGAAAGTGGAGGGCTGAGCATGAGCAAAAGCTTTTCATGAGCAAAAACGAAAAGCTGAGGAATCTGTTCCAAGAGGGGTAAACCCGAATGGAACCCCGAAAACAAGCTTTGAGGAGAAAAATGAACCTGAGAATTTGGTTAGCACAACTAAAATTCAGCACAGGGAAAGCCCTAATCCACGTACAAGTAACACAGAAACTGATCCACCGCAAGAAGTAAAATCTACCCATAAAAAGAAAAAATTCTTCCCACGGATCTTCATGTTCTTTGCGAGAAAGAAGGTACAGTCATCTAAATCGAAGTAATATTCTGTTCATACTCCTAGAAATTATCTTCTTGTTATTAATTTTGTGTTGTGTACATCCCTTTGTTTATCGGGTAACCCCAGTTCTTTGGTATTGGTGTGAGTACATTATGACAGTCTATTTCTGTAAAATGCTATGTATTGTTGTCTGTAGAATGAATTGATCACAAAGAATAAACGGTTTGTAGATTCCAAAGGATGAAAATTAGCCCAGTGTGATTAATAAGATTTTGTGGTGGCATATACGTGGGCATTTTGGAATTGAAATCCAGTGTAAAATTTTGTTTTTCTTTGAGATTTTTCTTTCAGTTGAAATATACACTTACATCTTGTATTTTCATATTTGTTATGTTCTGCCAAGTGGATTGTTGACTTTAAAGCATGATATTTGTCATTCACTGAGAGTCTGGGGACATTGAATCTTAATTTAGGTATTAATAAATAAATTCCAGGCAACACACAGTTATCCTATATTAAAGGTAAAATCGGTTGAAATAAAACAATTTTAAAAACTTTCCCCATAATACAAATTGCTCCTTGCAACAGGTAACTTCTGTAATGGAACAGAAATATGACGTACATAGGAACCAATTGCAGTCTCTGAAGATTTAAGAACCAGATCCAGCAAGTGTTTGAATGATTGTTTTATGCCAGGGATTTGAGAGATGCTCAATGAGATTTTCAATAGGGCCAACATGGGTAACATTAGCTTGAACAAAAATTCCGAGCATGGCCACCATTGCTAACCTTCCTACAAAAAAAGAAGGAAAAAATGAAACAAATAGGAAAGTTTTAAATATAGAAGAGAAAAGAAAGGGGAAGAAAGAAAGTCATAAGCAGCCAAATAGACCATTTTTAATCTCTTTGAGCTTCCACTCTTGAGCATTCTTTATATCTTTAGCAAGGCCAAGAGGATTTAGCAAAGGACCACCAGGGTACCTGTTGAATACTCAATAGAATTTAATTTTTGAACCATTACAAGTAAATTATTCTTTTTATTCGCGGCAATGTAATCAACAACATACCCTTTAAATGCTTAATAAAAACATTAATTACTAATGCAAATGAAAATTACCCAGGTTCGATCCCTTCTAGTGCTGCTTCTAACCCGAAGAAAGACCCCTCCTTAGCTTGAGATCCAGGATTTCTGAAATCCATGTATCTTTTGGTTTCAACAAATCTGCATAGATATATAAGCATAGACTGATATGTATAAGAACTTGTATCTCTGGTCTATGATTTTGAAATGACGTCACTCCGTATTCTAAGAGAATTAGGATTGTACCCCATTAATAGAAGCTGAATAATGACTAACGTTCTGGTGCTAGCAAAATCAAACTTGGTTGCACCTGCTTCATACCAAACTGGCAGATTGCTTATTCCTGTTATGCGTAGTAGCTGTGGATTTGAAATTAAATGGTAGTTCAATTTGATGCTTAAGTTAATAAAGAAGAATTTAAACACTAGCAGTGAATTTTTATGGTTTTAGTCACTTACATCAGTAGCAAGAATCCCAGCAACTCCGGCCATGGCAAAGCGTGCATGAACAAGTTCTGCCTGGACATACCACTTTAGACTTTCGGGATCTTCTCCAAGTCCAAGGGGATCAAATCCAAAATCCCCAGCAAGTCTACAAAAACATTGATCATTTTGATGGAGCCAGTGTAGACATGATGTACCTTAACCTTATACAGAAATATTGAAAAGGAGGAGTGGGGTGAAGTGACGCTCACGTTCCATCAAGATAAGGTGGAGGGTCGAGGCCAGGAAGCCATGTTGGGCGGTTCTGGGCTCGAACTACCACTCGGAGGTGGTGCGAGGAAGATCCTATTTCCACGAGCCAGTTAGTCTTTGTTGCACCAAATGCAGTTTTATGGCTGATCCTTCCAGGGAAGGGGGATGAACCAGCATGCGCCAGAATTTGGAAGCCTCTCGCCACTGCAACGTCCATCTTGCTTATTCTTTTTAATCAATAGCTTGCAAATTACTTGGGTAGGGGTGGGGGCATTGTGAAATTCGGACCACAACACTTCTTGAGATTAACTGCATGACAAACATGATAGGATGGGCCCACTTATCCTTTTATTTGAGCCCTTGGGCTTGGTTTCCACTTCATAGTAGGTTATTATTAATTTTGTAAAATGTTTGCCTCTTAGACGAGAAATATGTTTGTGATCCACTTATTTCATGTGTGGTGAAAAGGATTAGATATCAAGGAAGAAAATTAAACTAAAGACTTGCTTCCAATTCTAACCAGTTCTTAAGTATCAAATATGCATGGAATCTGGATCCAGCAATCTCGGAAGCAACATTGTCTTCCCACAGTAAGAACAAATGGGACAATCATTCTAGTGTTTGATCCGAGCTCCTTGCTACGGCTGCCTCCGTTTATTATTCCCTTTTTATTTATTTATTTCTTTTCTCATAGATGCAAAGGCCAAAATTGAGACAGTAAGATTGCTGGCGTAACCTAATAACTCCAAAATTAGTCTTGACGATTTCTGAATTCAACCAGCAGATAGAAAGAATTCAATCCTCCCTGTACTGACTCAAGCAAGAGACGCTATATTCTGACGATTATAGGCAATAAACCTAATAAGGTGCACAAGTGAACCAAAGGGTTTTGTTTACATGAGCAAAACCGCCTGCTAGAGAAGCTGAAGGAGCTAACTTTTGTTGGAGTTGTTCACTTCAGATGAACTCTCGTGCATAATGTAACTATTAATGAAAAAAACCATCTTTCAGATAACATTCTTGAGATTTAGCCTTCACATGCTGAAAATTCCATTTTACACATTAAATTTGTCCAGTCTATGGACGCAACCAGGTGCCACTCTAACTCACTATTCTCAATGACCCACGATTTTGGCATTTCTAGAACTAATACCATTAAAATATGTTATAGAAAGTGTTTGAAGTGAATGATACAAGTAAAAAGGAAAGGGAGGTTGGTAAAGAGAAACCACACAGAGTTATCAGTCCGAATGTGGCAAAATTTTGCATCATGTTAAGTTGGTTGTGTATGGAAAAAGAGCAAAGCAGCTACAGAAGTTTGAATTAATTGGGAAAGAGCGGAATTAGAAATATTTTTTGCTACAGAGAAGAAAAGGTTTCAGAGTTTCAATCCATACAGAGAGCTCTCTAGAGTAGTGTTCATTCTATTACTTCCAATGGTTTTCTTTTAGATGACCCAATTTTATACTGTAATTAGTCTATATCAAAATTACATGAACTGAGATTTCATATTAGGTACACATCACGAGTCTATTTGTTTGTTCTCATGCCACTCTTCACTAAATGGTTGTAACAGTAAAATACCAGCCATTAAATGAGGTATAGGTTCATACTTCCTCCTCTTATCCAGGCAACATCTTAATTTTACATAATTTAGCTTTGCGATGTTAAATATATTTGATTTACATATTTTTCTCCCAAACAGCATAGTCTGTTCCAGAGGTTGCAACCTTGTAGTTTGGTGGAATTAAATTTCCAAGATCCATTTTTGGGCCTATTTTGACAATGATTTTATCATCAATCATTGCCACATAAAGATCAGAATCAGAAGCCATAATCCGCACTTTGCTAGTTGGTGAGATGCCATTCCTTGACCTAATCAATGACAGTTTAGAGATTTCTTCCTTCTTTCCCCAATCAAAGAAATGATCATAAAACTGCACAACAAAATGTGTAATCTTCAGTTAATGGTGAGGTTGTAAACGAGTCGGTTTGAACCAAGAATTTGAGCATTCAAGTCGATTTCCATTTAGAAATCATCTTGATGAGCAGAGTCAATGTTTAGATATGTAGAAAACTCAAATAAACGATAAGCCTGGGGAAGTTGTAGATGGGGAACTTACCACTGATGGAATCCCTGGATGAGTGAGGATGTAAGCATATCCTAGACTGACTTTCTCTGCTGGGAATGGCCAAATTTTCTGTGTAGATCCAGTATCATGGTTGTCAATAAACGTAACAGCATTCTGTGGCAAAATCCCTATCATTCCAGGAGGTTTTTCTTTAGAATCCTTCAATCTCCATAGTTCTCCCTGCACTGCAGCTTGAAGAATTCCCTTTGTTGTGAAATCGAAAGCTGTGACACTGCCTCCCGCATTCTGAATCCACTGCACGAGTTCATTCCGATGCCTGTCCTGATTGTAATCTGGCTTCCCATCCTGCCCATAGGAAAGTGAATTCCAGAGTTCCCCAACTGCAAAATCCGGTGAAGTGTTTCCCATATAGATTTTGGTGATATCCGGGGAATATCCCTTGACAAAGTCGAATCGCCAACCATCAAATCCAATCTCAGTCTTGAGCCAGTTCATCCAGTCTGATAACTCCTTTTGTACCCTTGGATTAAGATGGTCTATGTCTGGAGCAGGTTTAAAGTCATCTCCAGTATCAGGATTCCCGGTGCCATCTGAATACTGAGTGTCGTCTTTGCAAATGAGTGACGGGCCCCAGTCGAGGCGATCATCAGAAGTCCCTCCCTCAAAAATGCAATATATACCTCTGCCGTCTTGTTTATCAGCACATCTGTGGTTTATTACTATATCAGCAACGCATTTGATACCCTTGTCATGGAAAGCCTTAATTAATGACTTCAGTTGCTGTTCATTTCCATATTTGGATGCGTCAAGATCATACAATCTTCCGGGCATATAGCCTGGGAAATAAGGAGGAATATCTTATATTATTAGCATTCCACCACATCAAAATGTTCAAATTTTCAGATATTTCGTAATTTTATGGAGAAATTAAGATTAAGACTGAGCCTCACAACAGCAACCATGTGACTAAGTGCAAAAGGGTAATGATATATCAATGTATCTCAATTAACAAAGCTACAAACCGACATTTGCTATGTATTTAAGCTATTGAGAAGTGAAGCCACAAGGACTGGTCTTCGGTTCTAAAGCCGAAAATTCAACAGCCAAGTCTTTTAGTATACGCAGACGAGTCCAATTAGGATACAATAGCAAGGGATGTGGCATCCTGTCTAGTATTGCGTACTAAATTATAACGTTTTCTTAGAAACAGATCAGCAAGATAAGAGAAATGCTACATGTACAAAAATGTTCGACAATCGTTTTGACATATTGAAAGCATTCTGGTCACAAAACAAATTTAAACCAACCAATGCAATGTAGACACCTCATCATCTGTAATACTTTCTATAATTTTCACCAGTACAAACAGCTTTAATCGTAAGATAATAGTTAGTCACCTTGGGGTGCAACTGAGTGGGAGACTGGGGGTAGCCAAACATGGGTGACCCCAGCATTAGCCAGGTCTGGTACAAGATTGATGAGCGAGTTGTACCATCCTCCTTGCTTATTACTTGACTCCCAATTGAATCCCTAAAAACACACAAAACACTCACCATAAACATGAGTTTTCCAACACAGATCAAACTTATTTAAAAGTGGGAGTTGTTGAAATACCTGAAATAACAAGGTCGGTGTAACGAAAGCCGGAAGAAGAGAGAAAATAAGACAGAGATAATAAAGAGAGGAGAAAACAATAGTCATCGCTGATTCTTCTTTGGCAGTTATCAGGAAATACAGAAGTATATATGGGATTTCGCAGCCGGGTTTCTTGACTTTTTTGTACAAATACTCACACTGGAATTCCGATAAATTTCCCTACTGCATGACAGCTGACAGCTGAATCTTTATTCACATTGAGAGAAAGACATTTGCTCATGGTGGATTAAGGCGTATCATAAGGTCAAGAAGAAAATTATGGATATAACTTTAACTAACGATTACTGGTCTTGAGAAAGTCAGACGTAGAAAGCACGTTGTCTTAAACTCTCCAGGATTATGGATAGCCATTTGATTGCGACTTTTACATGAATATACAATTACCATTATGTCAGATATAATTTTTTTTATTTTTTTATTTTTTTATGCTGATAGAAATAGAATGTGCTACAACAATGGCTTCTGTGGTTGAGAAAGGGAAGCTCTCAAAGGGGTCCCAAATATCCAGAGAGAATGAATAAAAAATATCGCTTCATCGATTGTCAAAGAAACTAGGAGTTAGAGACATCTTTTGGTTAGTTTTCTTGAATAAAGGACTTTGGATCACGATAAAAATTTTCTTGAGTCGAAAAGTGATAATATATGAAAAAATAGTAACTTCGAGAGAGGACGCTTACTTTTGTAAACTTCTAGAGAAAGTTATACAAATAGGATTCAGTTGGATGAAGAAAATTAAAAATACACCGTGGTAAACCCGAAGGGAAATATACATATGAACTCAATGCAAAGAGAAAATAATTCAATGCAAAAGCCAAAAAAAAATAAAGGTTGCCAAATCTTTTACGTTAAGGAAATAAGGAAGGACTTTATGTATGAACCCATTGATTTGACTGATATTGCACACGGGATATTTTTGGACTTTTCCAAATCACCTACTTAAAAATAAATAAATTTGCTTCATTAATAAAACCAAAAATAATTAAAAAATTATGTTCAAAAACATAATTTTCAATAGAGTGTTTGATGTTTAGGATCACTACTGGCTCAAATTAATCTAATCCAACTCAATGGAGAAAGCCTAATCTAAGAGAGTGCAAGTTCAAGAAAATATTATTTCACTCTTTAAAGGAATATCATGTTTAGGATATTTTTAGAATATAGAGGATCCTTACCTAATTAGTCTATTATGTATTATGTATGTCTAGTGTCAATAATTCATAACGAGTAAGTGCTTACTTTTTAACTTTATGAGCACCATTATATCCACGTTATCAAATATTTACTATTAATAAGACCCCGTTTGAGAGGAATTTTGTGAATTGATTTTTTGACTGTTAGAAGAAAAGTGGGGTCTACCTGTAAGAGAAAAAGTCGAAAATTACGGTTGAAATAGTGAAATAACGGTCAAAAAATTAATTTTTAGAGTAAAAAATCCCTTCCAAACAGGCTGTAAAACACTCGAACAACTCTCGTAAAGTGCATATATAAAGATGATTTTATGCAAAATCGATGAAAATATGAAATTAAGTAAAAGAATAATCTATGAGACAGTAAAACATATCAATGGCGTCAAGAGTAAATTCATCAGATAACTTGGCAGCTCTTTAATTTAATTTTATTATTATTTTTTTAATCCAAGTGGAAATTTCTTTAAGAAAAATCGCCACGAATAATGGATGAAATGAAGATGACAAATAATCAACCCAATTGACAATATGAAAGGAAATGCATGCACGAGTATGTTCCTGTTGACACAAAAAAATTCAGCCCAAATCGAACGGTCCAAGAAATGAAGTCCAATTGGAGGATCCCCAAATCAGATGGCCCAATAGCCCAAAGAACGAAGCCCAATCAGAAAATCCAAGATGAAAGCCCAAATAGGGAGGCCCACGAACGCAGTAACACCATCGCCCAAACTTGCAAGTCGCCCAGGATCTGAGCGGATGGAGTGTCATGCAATCGCCCAGAGCTGCTACTCTATTGTCGCCCAAACTTTCGAATCGCCCAAGATTTTAGCAAACATGAAGTATTATGGTTATCAAAAAATGCAGTTATCAAAGCAGTTATTAAACAGCCCTATCACGTTCCACGATTCAAGAAATTCAATTGAAAACGGTTGAACGATAAAGGAGTAATGGCAGCGGTTAAAAAAAAGGCAGTTCCATAACAAGTTGGCCATTACAGGAAAGTGGGTAGTTATGGAATAATCAAGCAGTTTTTAGGCGGTTGTTCACGAAAAGATCGTCTAGAGAATATAAAAGGAAGAAAAAACATAGAGCAAAGTGACCGAATCAAAAACTCTCGAACAGAGAACATGTAATTTTAGATTTCTTAGTTTAGATTTAAACACTTTCTTTCAGTAACTCGTGTGCTTGCGCTCCTTGGAGGCATTCTGTTTTTCAATTTCCAATTGTAAAGTTATCACCAATAAAGAACACCCATTTTTGAGATTTTGTCTCAAGAGGTTTGTCCCTTACACAATCGTCTTATCCCTTTTTTAATTGTTAGCGACGAACCCGCGCGAAACAAATTTGACATGCCCAGTGGGACGATGGTGTTTGGTGCTGAAAATACAAAAGGTGAAACAATATGCTTCAGAGATCCGACAAGGAACCAGCAAGTCATGGAGGAGTCCAGTCTGTTATTGAGCGATATGAGGAGCAACATGCCTCTTCACGAACAGATGGACATAATCATAGCAGTAACAGTCGTTACGAACCAATGACAGAGTTGAGTCCTCGAACCATGCGTGCACTGCTTGGAGAACTCACACAAGATGTCGTTTGAACAGGTAAATCTTCGAAGTATTCATAATATGAAAAGATTTACCCAAAACGGGAATGCACATTATGACAACATGGCCAAACAACTAAACACTTTGAACGAAACAATGAATAAGTTAATAGGCCAAATATGTCAACCGGTTATACCTCTTGCAAACCATTTTCAAATTAGGACAATTGTGGGACATAATCCCTCAGTCCTAAATCCGAATCAAGGGGTAGAACCACTTTCTGGTCCCTCTACTTCAAACCAAGGGGGTGGTGCAGTACCAAATCAGAAAAATGGTAGTGTTATGCCTAACTTGGCGAGTAATCCAAATGTAAGAGATAATATCCTAAATAATGGACAGAATACCCCACGTGTTAATGAGGGAATAGATTTGCAGGCTAATGGTAATGACCCAAATCATGGTAACTTTGTTGCCAATCAAGGACCAAACATCAGCCCTCATGCAAATCAACCGGTTAACCAACCTGTAGGAATTCCATATGACCCCAACGTCATGTTGAGGAATCAGATCATGGAAATCGTACAGGATCAAATGACTTTTGGGGTACGTTCTGTTATTAGGCCGACTTACACAAAGTCATATCCTGATTGGGTAGACCAAGCATATCCATGGCCTAGAGGGTATAAAGTATCAGAATTCTCACTGTTTACCAGTTTAGAAGAGGTGTCTACTCTAGAACACATAGGGCAATTCACATTGCAAAGTGGTGATGTAACTGATTACCATAAAATTAGGCTTTTTCCTAGTTCATTAACAGGAATAGCTTTCTTCTGGTTTATCAACTTGCCAGCGAACTCTGTTCAAACATGGCAACAATTGGAACAACTATTCCACGCTCAGTTTTATAAAACTGAGTCTGAAGTCACTTTGGCTGATTTGGCGAATCTACGTCAAATGCCAAAAGAATGAGCAGAAAGTTTTCTCCAAAAGTTCAAGACGGCAAGAAGCAAGTGCTTTGTACCTCTGCTTGAAAAAGAATTCGTCAAAATCGCTCAGGGCAGTTTGAGTTTTGATTTAAAAAAAAAATTCCAAGACAAGGAATTTCTTGACCTTTTTCAGTTAAGTGCGAATGTGATTAGGTATAAACGACTGATAAGAGAAGAAGAGCAGATGAAAAATTCTAGTAAAGGGACTTATTATAAAGATCCAAATTTTGACGTTCATACCAGCAGCGACGAGTCATACGATCAAGCCGAAATGTGTTTGGCCGAATTGGTCAAAGGAGACATGTATACTTGTCCTATAATGGCTAAGCCTAGACCATCGGGCAAAGATGAGCCTATAAAAGATGGAAACATAAAGGCTATAATGTTCTCGTTCGATGTAACCAAAGATGACCTTATATTCGATAAGTTATATAGGGATAAGCAGATAAAGTTGAGCGATAAGCATAAATTGCCAAACCCTGAACAAATTAAGGGTAAAAAATATTGTAAGTGGCATAATGCGTGTTCACATTTGACTAACAATTGCTCGATTTTTCGCCATGTATTGCAGGATGCCATTGAATCAGGACGAATTACGTTCGACAATAAGAAGAAGAAGACAGTTGATGAAAATCCTTTTCCACAGCCATTTGGAGTGAACATGGTGACGTCTGTTTTTAAAAACGAGTTGCCAAAATTCAAGTTGGTCATAAATGATGGAGAAGAGGACCCTAGACCACATCCCAGTGTCTTTGAACGAATCAAGGGAAAAGAACAAAAAAAGGACGAAGATGTCCTGTGTGCAAGGTGTAAAAGGGAAGTGAGTGGGAACACAGAGAAACCAGTGATATGGCAGCATCCCCATCGCCCTACTTTCTCCCCAAACACTCAGCCTGGTAGAGGGTGAGGTACATCATTCTATAGAGGACCGCCTTTTGAGAGGCAGTTCAGGCCAGCAGATAATGGGAGAACATTCAGGCCACAACCTCGCCGGCCAAATGTATGATATTCATTCCAGTATAATGCAGGAAGGGTAATACCCTTCGATGAGATGACTAGAACCCAACAAAGGCGTTTCCAACGAAACTATGGACGAATGATGAGGTAGCAACAGGGAGTGCCACATCCTAAAGCGCCTAAACTACTCAAGGTAGCCAATCAAAATGTCCTCAAAGATGGTGAAGAGACCGGCACAGATGAATCAATGAAAGAACTGCCAGAAACTTCTTACGGGAGATCAAAGTTTGAGTGAGATAGAAGGGATGGGGAAGATCCAGATCAGCCCCTTACTATCCAATTCGGTACGTTACCTCCTGTCGTGGCCAATAATTACTTACTGGCCAATGAATTCAAAAATAAAGAAAAAGAAGAAGAAGAAAGGGGGGGACCACGAAGGAGAGGCTTGCGTGCTGGAATGTGAAGAATGCCAGACTTCTAGAGAGGCCTACAATGATGAAGAAGATGACGGGATGACAGACATTGA